GTATTTATATGTAGAGAATTTTGACAGGCTTTTCTTAAACTTGACAAACTCGATAGATGGATGATTCTCTTTTTCACCTGCTTGTCGTTGAATGAGTGCAAACGCTCACGAACGTTGGGTTTCCGGTTCATGACCCACCTCCTGACACACCCCCAATGCACCCACAAAATCGACCAATAGTAAATCGAGTTGAGCAATATACCCAATGCCTTCACGAAGGCAGTCACGGCTCGCTATTTTCCATAGAAAATATTTTAAAAACCTGGATATTTGTTATGCTATTCTCTCGAAACAGTAAATTCTAGGTTTATTCGACATGGTAGCTCAGGATTTTGGTCGTTTTATATAAACACAGTTGTTGTACCCCAGTTGAATGAAGGGATATTGTTCGCACGTGAGTAAAAACGTGACGTCAGAATATATGGGTAATTTGCATGTGAGCCACTTCACTGAGAAAAATAGCTGTAAAATATGTTTACCTCAGAAAATAAAAACCCTGCTTGTCTAGAAATTCCAGAAAAACCTGGCTAAATCATTGTCAAACAGTCAAACTGGAAACAGAGCAGACGAGCGAAGAATGTTAGAGCTAAAAATTTCCCTGACCTCATTTCTGTCCAATTGGTCGAAGAGTCTCCCTTTAAAACAAAGCATAATTTTGACAGTAAGTTTTTCCTATCTGACATAGAATGTGTATCTCAGTACCATCGACACTGCACACTTTTCTCTTACACATTACTACATGTTGTATTGTTGCGCATTTGAAAACAAAGATATAACTCATCTTGTGGCCGATATAGCCAAAGAGACACGGACACAAGGAAACATCCATAACAATATACATCTTTAAGCTAAGGACTCCTGAACAGGGACCCTAAACAATGTATTACTCATACAGAAAGCAACAGAGGAATGTGAATATGTCTATTATCAAGAACGGTATAGGGTTAAGTATTGAGAACGAAGCACGACTCGATGAGTCATATCGAAGCAAATCCAAAACAAACATTCTTTTCAAATAAATGTACCTCTAAATTTTTTTCAATAAATGGTTTCTAAGAAATAGTGTAGCAAAGTAAAGACAATCGAAATGCCAGGCAACAAAAAGCAATTATTATCTTAATACTTATCCTTTCAGAGGCCCTCAATAAACCATGTGGAACCGGTTTAGACATGACTGAGTGCGTAGGTCGAAATTAGCAGTACATTATACTATAGCATATGAATTAATAAATAGAATGAAACTGATTTACAAAATTTAACCCACAAGACAATCTTATTTTATTGTTTTTGTTTTTACACTTTAGTCCCGTTTTAGTACAAGAGCCGAAACCAGCAAGGATTCACAAAAGTCAGATTGTACCTTTTGCCGTCATTCGCTGGCCCCTACAATTATAAATATCTGTGACGGAGGTGTAGGCCAAATCAATAAACTGTATCCAAGTGGATGTGTATGAGCTGCCGAAAATATGAAAAGAGGCTGTAAAGTCAAGAATTTCTTACCCATAATTTAACGATATTTGGCTGAATTTTTACAACATTTTGATATTCTAACGCCCTAAAAATAGTTTTTACACACTCAAGATATTGCTTGAATACTTTGCCCAAACTGGTGCCAATTCTCTCATCAGATTCACCAAAGAAACGGTCACAGTGTATCGTTTATAAAGCTAGCCTTTTCTACTGTTAACAGTGTGTTACTGATTTGCGTCCGTGGGTCTAATACACTGCAGTTCTAAATCCTTTAGTGTCTTAAAGTGTCGGTAGTCCCTGAGTATACCCTGCAGTAAACAAAAGCAGTACAGGGTAGATGGCTGAGGCTTAAATTCTGTAAAAAAAAATCCTAAAATACGACCATTCATTTGATCTTGGAAAGAAGTTGTTTTCTGAAGTCAACTTCTACGGCATTTGGCGGGAACATTTTCTAGGCATAACAGCTGAATTTTCCAGTGTTTGAGAAGGATGAAGGCACGTCAATACACATCTTGTAGACATAGGCTCCCATGCAAAATCGGAAGTAGGATTTGAATTCATGTGGCGTTTTCTAAAAGAATGGCGATAGAGACGAGGCATACCAGAAAGAAATAAAATTTCTTAGAGATCAAGTAAGGAAGCGCTAGGAGAGCATCCAGCTTAGGAGATGATCTAAAGCGCAGGCCGGGTTCGAGGTGTAACACTTAAATTTTCTAACTCTAAACTTACAGTTAAAAATTCTCACGAAGCCGACCCTAGATCCACGAATGACAAGACGTTCATCGAGGAAAGATGCCTGCAAAGTGGTCCCAGCTGTACTGTAATGATGCCGAGCACGAATACAGTGTTGTTTGAGGCATCAGCAAAATTTATGGCTCGACGTATTTTCGGCGATTGACTGGTCATCCAGGACTTCCTTTATTGCCCATTCCATTCGGATGGGCGGGTCCGAGGAAGACGCTCGTTCTGGTGATAGGCATGAGTTTAATTAACTCTTCCTGAACGTTCGTTCAGACTCCAAATTATGTCTTTATATTGTCTGGTCTAGACGCCCGCTATACACTGAATACGTAATTTCAAAAAGTTGTTTTACATAGCGATCGAAGAAAACGGTTTCTTGACATACCATATTCCAAGACGCTCAATCCCTTCTTTCGATACATTTTAATACCACCTTGTTTACAAACTATAGAAAAGCAGCCGTGAATAAAAACGGAGACCAAAATGATTCAGAGAATGTTGCTCAATTTAGAACTTGATTGACGGGTCACGTTTTTGAAAACAATGATAAATTGACCGTTCAGTGGGTAAGGTCAAACTCACTGACGTACTTAATACTAGGGTGGGAAAATATTAGCATGTTATTTATAGCCAGGTAACCTTTTTATAGCATTGCATGAGAGTTCAAATTCAGAATTGCCTCCTTTAGAGTTCTATAAGTTAGCAAAATCGAGCCCAATTCCAAACTACACTCGGCTGTACTTACTCACTTTGAAACTGGATATAAAACGGTGAGCTAAACCAGAAGAAGCGGACAACTTTAATTAAGCGGACACCAGTCGAAGTGCCTAATTTATTTCCCTTAATTACCATAAATGAAATCTTTAAATTGTAGGCAGACAACTAGAAACGTTGACTGAATCATGAGAGAGTGTAGTCTGTGTTTAAAAAAATGTCAATTTTAAAAAGAAAATAAAAAAAGTGAGAAATTAACAAGCTCTTGAAGGGAGGGAAGAGCCTTCTTGACCACCACACGATTCAAATTTTCTCCCACTGTTAGTCTAGAAAGCACTACGCTATGTTATTGCTCTGTCATCTCGTTCGAAGACTATCTCAAGGGTCTCAAACTGCTAAAATAGTAGCTTTCCAACAACTAGAGTTTCACGAAAACCGCTGGTTGGTGAGCTTGTTCACTAGCTATTAGAGCCATTGGTAGGGATGGTGAGGGCAGTTTACCCCCTTAAATTGTAGGCACTGAGATATAATATAGCTTCTTTACGTGATCACTGTAACTTGATCATACGGATTGGAACCACCAGCTTTGCAGTTAAAATTTACATGTAGCCCGCAGTGCAGGCGTATTTTGGGTGGGAGAAACCTTGTTCGTGTTCGTATTGTTGAAGCCGCCATCTTTGATTCCCGCTCCCTTCGACTCGCCCCATTTCCTCCTCTCTTCGGAAAGTTTCCACATGGCGCTTTCGCGAGCAAAAACATTTGCGCGCCCGAAGAAAACGCCTGCACTGCAGGCTAATTTACATGTTGCAAATCGCGCTTCACGTTTATTTGACCGTATTCTTCTTGGTCTCGCCAGGCCCTACCACTTCCTCTACTACTAATTAAGCTTTTCTCAATCAATGTGAACAATGTCGTGGCCTTGTGCTATTCAGTTTTAATCTCACGTTGCATCACACGTACAACCGACAACATCTTCCTTTTACAAGAAACGTGTAATCCAGGTCCTTGAAGTTATTTGAGAGTTCATCCTTCAAAATTTACGTTGAAGGTTCAACGAAACTTAGTATAATGTCCCACCCATCCCAGACATCACTTCTTTGGCTGTTAACACAATTAAGAACACTTTGGTTGTCTGGCGACACTAGTTATTATCACAGGTAGCCCAAGCTCGAACATCGGCATTGTCACGTAACATTCGAAATATAAGGATTTGTATGGGAAAAAAACCTGTCGTTTCTGTAACCTACGAAAATGAAAGGATTTCAATAAAAAACAGCTTATCTTACTTAAAATGTGTGTTACGTCTCTTCTGTGTGGTCCTCGGGTCGATTTATGGCCGTTTTATGGGTTTTTATGTAAACGGTTGTCTCTCTATGTAAACCTTTATAAAGAGAGAAAACCGTTTACATAAAAACCCATAAAGCGGCCATAAATCGGCCCGAGGACCACACAGGAGAGACGTAACACACATTTTAAGTAAGATAAGCTGTTTTTTATTGAAATCCTTTCATTTTCGTAGATTACAGAAACGACAGGTTTTTTTCCCCATACAAATCCTTATATTTCGAATGTTACGTAACAATGCCGATGTTCCCCGATGTTCATATTTCGAACTTGGGCTACCTGTGGTTATTATAAGCTCAATTAGAGCTGTTTCAAACGTTGTGCTACTGCCGTGCTACTAAGCTGGCCCGACTGTAGTTCGACTGTAGCACGACACTAGCACGACTTGGTTTGGTTGCCGCGCTACACGGCAGTAGCACGACTTGGTCGAACGTCGCGCTACTGCCGTGCTAAAGTCGAATTTAACTAGCTTGACAGTGGGGTCGGAAGGGGGAAGCTGTTAGTACATAACGATTAAGCAAGGAGAGAAATTTCTTGGCATTCTTTTCTTTTCGTGTCAATTAGACTTTTTAAGTCAGGATAACCAGCGTGAGTTCGTCGCCCATATGCACGTTTCGATATCTTCCAATCAAACTATCTTGATGGCGGACTGGAACCAGTGAGATCAAGCAAACCTTAAGAAAAACCACTATCTATCTTTTTCTCTAACTCCGTGAAAGCAAGTTGTTTTTTCACATCTGTAGTGCGTATAGGATGTGTGCCATCATTAACAGCGCATATCCTTTCTTGTCAGAACTTTGCTGGGTCCTGTTATGGACAAAGAGAACTGCAAGGGGTAATTCTTGTTTCCGCCCTGTTTGCTAGCCGGGGGGACTCCCATATGAAAGGGGCGGGGATGCTCGTCGGAAATTTTGAATTAAACCCTAAAAAGAGACCAATCTGGGCGTATCCCAACCTTTTTTGATCCATTAAACTTTGATTACATGAACCGAGTAAATAAAACGAATTAAAAATATAAAGTTTTTTAATATTTCTTCGAGTGCAACCCTAAAAGAGACCTTTACGGCGAAATATAATGGTGTTTTGCCCAGAACACCCTTAAGCGAGACCAAAATCTGAAATTCACACTCCTAAGCAGGACGACGAGCATCCCCGCCCCTTTCATATGGGAGTCCTCCCCTCGGGGTTTTACTATTGCGTTGACGGTACTTTGCATCTAAACATATTATTTCTGCTTTGCCCCTATTGTGTAGGAAACTTTGACCACACACACGTAAAATAAAATAATAATAGTAATAAAAACGGGAGAATGCTAGTTCAGTAAGCCTTCCGTGCGCTCCTGCTAGGCTGAAAATCGCTCGGAAGATTTCCAAGATTAGCTTTGCTCTTAATGGAAACATACACAATGCGGTACTTACTACTGAAATCAGACTAAGTGGAAAGACTCATCAGATTGTCATCTCTTAACCGTTAATCGGAAAAGTGGGAAATAAGCGTCAGGAGCCCTAAGTAGAGGTGAAGTCAAATATCGAGGCGTATCATTAACTTCCTACAGTGAGATTAACAGACTTTCTAGATTCATTTGAAATTTTTTGTTTTCGAACCTTACTCTCAGTTTGCGCCTTCTATCAAAAGGGAGTACAAAGTCTCAAGAAATGTTTAAAAAATGCTTTTGGGTATCAATTTGTTGCTCCTTAAACGAGACTTTGCAGGTTGAATGAAGGTGACTCGTGATCAAAAGAGATTAACTTTTGGCCCGTGTGGCCGCAGTCCATCCCTCGCGGTCAATATTTAAAATCACCCGATTTGTTTACAAATTTGTTCCACTTGCATAACGCTATATTAAAAATCTGGCCTGTCATTGTTACACGGATTTGTATTAATATAAGAATGAAACAAAACAGTTAATTCGAAAAAGACTAACTAATCTCAGAGGGACGTCTCTCAGACAAAAACTCCTTATAATAAACTTAAACCTGAAAAAGAAGAGGAACGTCTTTCTTTTATGGATCTAAATTTTTCATTCAAAACTATTTCAGTTTTCGCCTACCAAAAATAAAATAACAGCAATAAAATAAAATAAGTAAAGGACCGCTAACAGATATCGCCGGTGCTGGTTTATTTACCCAGAGTCCACAAGAGATTTAGTTTGCAAAGTCATGACAAGCTAATTATTTTGTCGGTAATTTTTAAAACTTGCAAGACACCATTCTTGAACCCGACAGGGCGCAGATAGATGGCGGCTGTGAGTTTCTGTAAAATCTACTACAATACTCAGTACTCGAAGTACACGCCTGCAGTATACCAGAGTATATTCAACGCAATCAGTGAAGTTAAGTAAAATTTTAAATAATCATTTTTTATGAACGAATATTTGTATTTAATATGTCTTGCTGCAACCGGCTCCTCAGTGCAATATAATCTACTCAGTATCACCCGTGCACATTAATATATCATATTAAAAACATTACGCAAAATAATTTTGAAAGGGCAACCCTTCATAGAAAAGAAATTGGCGGTATCATTACAAACTTACTTGGTGGACCGACAGCAAAGAGTTTCTTCTCTCGAGAAATTCTTCAAAAACAAAGCCACAGTTTTAGGTGGGTAACTCAATGTTGACACGAACAAAGATGAACCTGAATGTTACAACATTTGACAAAACATCGTACTTATATCAGTCGAAATAATCATATCGTATTTTGCTGAGCACAGGTTTGTTTTACGTCACGCTGGATCAACGAATCTCATTGGACGAAAGCGTTTTCTATGCTTTCTTCACTTAGTGGGGTGTACTACATAGTTTGAATCAAACACTCTCCTCATGATTTTAATTTAAAGTCTTAAAGTGGAATCATTCAAATTAATGTCTTAGAAAGCTTCTTTAAAGTGTTAATAGGGTTTGCGTAAAAAAATACCAATTTTAAACACAAATTTTTGACCCTGGTTTCTTCAGTTAAGGTGATGATTACATGTTAAAATACGTGTGTGAATTTCGAAATTGCTATGTCACTTTCTCGTCTGCCGATGGATTTGTTCTCTCCTGTAATTGGTCAGTTAAGACTCTTTCTCTCTCGTTATGCGTAAAGCAAGTGTTGGAACGTGGGCGGAAACGGAAATGCATCATTAGATTCGGATGAAATCTTCAATCAGCATACATCATAAGTAATCCTTAGGGGTTACTCACGGAACTTTTTTGCTTCTTGAATCACCCTATTATTATTAAACTAGCGCGAGACTAAGATTTAAAGGCGATGAACCACTTTCCAAAATCGCACAAAGAAGGTATATGTTACCGCTTATGATCCGTTGATTCGAGCTAAAATTGCGGTGAGCATCACCCCTCCCCCCCACCTTGCCTTAACCCTAAAGCCTGACTGACTGGTATCCGGAACTTGTTGTGTGACTTGCTGCGAAAGGTAGAGCAGATGAGTCTCATTAGCGTAAATTTCCTGTGATAGGGATGTAAATGAAAACACTCTTCAAGAACGAATTAATAACGGCAGGGCAGCCTGCTCAAATAAGTTGCATTCAAAGGGAATTAAAGATTTACCCTAAAACTGTAGATGCTGGAATATCCTCGCGGGCGGACTGCTTTGGGGCGATCAGTCGCTCTTTTCTCTGTGATCTCGGGGAAGAGAGGAGGCCTGGTAGAATTTAACAATTCTCTTCAATGGTACGATTTCTTGCCTAATTTGTCAGCTAAGTGACTCAGCATTGAGTTTTATTCCATTGTGCTTGATGCCTTGTACGAAGGGAGAAATGACGCATATTAATGATGTATGGCAAAATAGATACTTGTCTATTTCTTGTTATCCTTGATCTTATTTTCACGATATCACGTTTATTTTTTTCCGGTGGTTTGGTTCTGAATGAAAACAACTGAGAATGTAGGCTGTGTGGGGGGCGGGTAGGGGGCGGGTCTGGGGGTGCGCATCCCAGCGTATACTTGTCTTGTTTACTAATGAAAACGTAATCAAAGGTATTACGCGCGCACTCCTCGGACTTTGATGGCTTTGCATACGGACTCAACAACTCCTTTAAACTTCTCCTCTAGATACTAACTTTTACCCTGGTACCCTTTTCATAACTCCTTATGAATTCAACAAAGCGCGAAGATTATGGTTAAGCAGAAGATAGTCGGCAGGGTTAAACCTGCTAATCAACGTAGCCTGTAATTGCCTAGCTTTTGACTATCCTTCTTATTGCTCGGGTTCACAGACTACCACTTTTCAAATCACTATATGAAAATCAGTTGGCGATAACTCATTTTCCAAAACCCGCTTAATAATAGAGTACCTCTGTGGATAATACGGTCACCGGAACAACCAAAGGCCAACGGGCAAAGAGCGGATAAAGCGATCATCAAAATGCCAAAATCCGTTTTACGTGATTTGACAATAACACGTTTCTTTTTGCATGACCGAGCATTCTCTGTGACTCAGCATTTGACTTCCTTTTCCACCTTATATTTAAGGTACCGAACATGACTAGGAATTTTCATCCTCGCTTCAGTGACCCAATTTTGTGAATAACCATTTTTGTCTGAAAGCGAGGACATTTTCTCGTATAAAAAAACCCTTCAGGCTGAAGCAAAAGCCAGAACAACATGAGATTTTATAGAAATGTTTTTCAGTTCTTCTACTTCCCTTTTACGCAATTATTATTTTAATGACTTCAGAAGAAATAGATACAAAACATTGCCTTCGCTTGCCTTCCAACTTCAGGATGTTATATATATTCTCTCTATTCTCTTTTTTAGAAGCCTGATCACATTTTGTTCAAAGATTTTCATCAGTCAACTAGTTTTCTATTTTCATCAATACGATTTACTTATTCTCCACCTTTCGAGATCTATGGGAACGAAAGACTTCGCAGCGGTTTAGCGGGAACTAAAAAAGTGAAGGAAAAAAAAAACGATTGAAAAAAAAACCGGAAATGTAAATTGTTTTATTGTGAGTGCTAAGAAGTAATCAACTCCCCAAATTCTTCAGAACTGATAGTTCTAGAAAGCGGAAAGCGAAATAAACCAGGAAATTGCGGTTCTAAAGAATTTCTAGAGTTTTTGGCTTCCCAGTGCACCCTCTTGGTATTACACAATTGGACTTCACTTCATACAAGTGCACAGCTTACACAGAAATGAAATACCGTTTTTTTGGAGGCCCTCAAAGTCAGCTGTTTTCGAATAAAGCTAGTTTAAAATACTTTCAAAGAAACAATTGGAGCTTTGTCATTTTAAACCAAGTACAGGGCCAAAGTAGCAGCCAAGGGTAATTGCAGGCCGCATTTGCAACAATCAGTTTCCGTTTTAAAAAATCGAAGGAAAACAAACACTGAGATGGATGTATGCCAGCGCTACTTAATAAGCACCTCCATCGGACCAACCGCGACGGAAGAAAGTATCATGCTTAACGCCTAATATTTTGTACGTGTGGTCGTTGAACTACGCTTTTCAGATTCCTACATTCTCTTTTTACGAGACTAAACGCCCTCGTTCAATTAAAAAACGTCTCTTGACTAGCTATAAGTGTCAGTGAGGATATGTTGCCACGGAGAAGCTCTCTTCAGGGAGTGTCATTAAAGTTTGTATTGTATTGTATTTCCCGTCTTAAGACTGAGCTATACTTGAGCTTGGAACCCCGAGAGAGAAAATCCCCATATAGAAGGGGATGTTCGTCGTCTCGCTTTGTGGTAGAAATTGAAAATTTGGGCCTCATTTGCAGGGTTCAGGACGAGAAGTAAATATATTCACCCATAATGGTATCGATGAGGATTGTGTGTGGCAAATGCTGCATGTCATATTCTATTGGAGAATGGTCTCCTTTAGGGGACAATAGTGACGGGCATGAGCCACACCCACGTGGGTCTCTTTTATAGAATATAGACGTGAAGCCGAAGTTTACACTTTGTATTTCTGGGTGGAGGTGTGCAGCTGGGAACCTGGAACCGTTGGATTAAACCATACCGCGTTCAATGAGCTGTATTTTACAACCCTATTTCAGACTAACTATTAGTTAAACTCCATTGCTCAATCATATCATGCCCCTTCCCATTAATGACACACTATTCTATACTGTATTACACCAAATGAATTAAAACTGTTCAATAGACGAAGAGCTGCTGTTTAGTTGAAAGAATATATGTATCAGGCGCTTAGAACAGCGATGTATAGGCGCTATATAAATTCCATTATTATCGTAGGGAAGCCTATAATTTACAAAAGCGAGGACTTCTATCCTACTAATTTGTCAATTATAATACCAAAACTGATTAGCTTTTGCAACCTTACCTCCAAGATTATTCTACAAATTTCTCTACTTTCCTCAGAAGACAATCAAAGTGAGTGATACATCTCAAACCTTTTTCAAAAAATGAAATTCATTCATCTGTTTGGTTAGATCCTCTGTGAACCCGTGTACTTTCTTCATCAGTCACTATACCCGTGTGCACATGCGCAAAACTTTTTTTTAATCCCAGCACAAAACATGCTCGACTAGTTTAGTGGTTCTATCCTGAGTGACCTGTTAGATTTTTCTGGTTAAGTATATGGTAAAGAATAGTCACTGTTTGTTTACTTGCCAAGTACAAGAATGTTGTTATCGATTCCCTTCTATTTCCGTTCCCTCTTCCGTTTCTGGTGAGAAAACTTCTATCCATTTCCTAAAATAGAAACTTTGCAAAGGCGCAGCCAAGATTTCTACTGAAACACTGCTGTTTTGGCCCTTATATTTCCTCTCCAAGAATAATCTCAAGGCTAAAACGTGCCAAAATTAAAATAGAAGCAAAGCTCATTAAGCTAAAAACCCGGGGGGTGGGGGTACTCAACCAACGTTTATACGGGGAGGTTCCGCCCCTAGGTCCAACCCCTTACCCTTGTATATATCATTTTCACGAAAAAGGTACCTCTTTCGTATACCCTCTATAGACAAATGGTTCCCCTTTCACATACCTTGTTTAGAAGTTTGCATCCCTTTTAACTACACTGTCTCTTAAATAGGAATCAATCACAAAAATAAAACTTTTTCTTGACTTTATAACGCCATAACATTCATCTGTCAGCTCTTTTGGGCTCTCTCACAGACCCAAATGACAGATTTCCCTACCCATATATATACTTCAACTAGTGAAATCCCTACCCTTTCATATACTTGAAGCCTGAAGAAGATACCCCTTTCGGGCGGGGCCTTCCCGTGAAGCCCATCATAGGGAGTACCCCCCTCCCTCACCCGGGGGCTAAAAGTGTGGCCAAATTCACAGTGAGTGAAAATTAGTCATGAATCGGTGCCACACCCCTATCAAAACGGTTACGGGTTGAATTCTTGTGACTCTCTTGTTGCTGCTTTGTGAAGGCATCACCCTACCGGAGATTGCAAGCAATAGTAAGTCTATCGATCTTGTCTTTCAGATGAATGGTCGTAAGATACTGGGCTCCGAAAAAAATACCCACATCTTCTCTCTAACACCATACAGCATTGCGCAATTCCGGTGTAAGGAAGGGAGAGATTATTGATTACGCCCGGGAAGGCCCGCATTGAACAATTCACTTGTAGAGCATGAAAATAATTCACGAAAATTCACGGCAATAAGCCGAAAGCCGGGGACTAAGAAATAGAGATAGTTCCCAAGTGGGGAAATTCATCAGCCCCAACACAGTATGCTTTATTTTTAAACACAGGTTTAAATAGACTAACCTTGAAGCTCTCCGTTATGCAGTTAAATCGCATAACCTTGCTTGATGGATACTTATATAAGTCGGAAATTGCTTAACCACTATGGAGCATGGAACGATCACAACGTTTCTGATCAGCGCGACCGTAGACTTACAAGGTTCGTATTTTTGTTAAGAGAGGCTACTCTTTATACTATAGTGATTGCATGTATATCTTCTTCGCTACGTGATTCATGACTGGACTTTCGCAATATTTCTACATAATGCCCCCCTTCACTAGCCATTAAATCCAAAGGTTGTGGTAAGGAATTAGGAAGAAAAACAATCAATAACAACAGCTATCTTAATATACAATAGACTGGTATTCAAGCGCATAATATAAAGACAAAAACGTCCAGACGCTTTATATCATCATGATATTGTTAAGGGGGTTATTAATCCGCTGCTCAAAAGACTTCCGCTTTTTTAAAATAAAAAATTGAAATCAAACAATAAAGAAATTAGACTGATTACAGATTATGAGGTAATCTGGCAGCTTGCATGCAAACCCACACTGACTCTGCAGTTTTCGTCTACAACGAAATATGATAAAGCCGAGAAGAGGAAACGTAGAGCGAAAGATGGCATTGGAAATTCTTAATCGAAAATTGTTTGAAACTTCCAGTCATCAATGTACATCTTTTCTTGCAATGGAAGTCAGACTACATGCTTTCGTGCAGGGATCTAACGCGCCCTGCGTGTAATTCACGCATTTGATCATAGTTACACAGATATTTGCGCGTCATAAAATTTTAAATTCTTATTAATTAGTCAATGGCGTCTACCTGGACACATTTTACATATAATAGGGAGCTGTAGAGTCATCTTCGACCACTGTTGAAACGGAAAGAGGCACACAACAGATATATATATATATATATATATCTCGCCTGCTTACCAAGCCCTTACAACAATTAAAACTTACACTAAAAACTTCACCACAGGTTCCTCAAACTTTCCTTCTCTTTTATATTTCAGCCTTTACAATCCGAGATGTTTGCATTTTTGGTCAACACCACCGATCAAAACAGGCTTTATCGTAAGAATTGGAAGACTACTTAATTTTTTCAGCGCTGAAAGGCTAACACAGACAATAATCCTTCTGCACCCATTTCAGCGAAAATACAGCATAGAGTCTCCTTTTGTTTCTTGCCAAGCCTCTTCATATACTTTGACAACATCTGCAAAGTACAATAGAAGAGGAGGGAATTGAAATGCAGGGGGAAATCGCAAAGAGCACTAAATGGTACTACCTTCTCTAATGCAGATGTCTTTCTCTCGGGACGGAGGTGTGTTTTCATGAAAAGCAAAATCTTTCGTGGCGGGGAATGGGAAAATAGCGGTCTTGTCAACCTTGTCCAGGAGAGAAGCCTGAGAACGAGGTTGCGTTCTTGTGAGAGGTGTGAGAGGTTAGATGAGGTCTGGGCTCGGTTCCTCAAAAAGATGGTTAATTTTAATCCAGGATTACGCCAGATTTTAAGCAAGGTTTTCTTGTCTAAGAATATATAGCTCGAGCTTACAAAATATCGTTGAGCCTTTACTTCGAAAAAAAGAAATGATAACATAGGAAGGTAAATACAAAAAGTGGAACAAAATTTTAATTCTGGATTTACGCTAATCGGCCTATCAGGAACCGGGCTCTGGTTAAAAAAGCAATCACGTACATTATAAAATGTATAAAATTCACCTTCATGTAAGGGACCATTTTTTGTACTCTTGAGGTTCTGAATCAGTTGTTTTGTGGAAGAGGCTCCAATGATGACTGCATCTAAATGGAGACGGCAAAAAATTAAAAGTAGTGGAGTACTCCTCTGTTGCCTTTTGTTTGTGAACATGATTCAAAGGGGGGTACTGTCACAAAATACGGACAATCTCAAACACGTATTTACAAAAATGAAAACATTACCAAAATGTTTCTGTTCGGTTACGAAGTACTCGATAAGTGCAATGAAACTATTCACGGTGGCCTTTCGCCATTCAAGAATCTGACAACAAAACGACTAAAAGCATTAAAATCACACTTACCTCCATGTGCACCGTCTAATTTAGAGTGATGGTACATCCAGCGGAAGGTCGCATCAACTAATGATACTTTTCCTTCACCGTAAATGCGATCTAACGTTTTTCTGAGTTTGTCGAGTGCGTCAAACAATGGCTTTTTCCAGTAACGCTGTCTGTAACTGTGAAGAGAAAAATAGGTACGCAATGAGAAGATGCAACACAGGTGTACATGTTATAGAGCCTTTTCATATGACGTCACGCTCGCTATGTTGGTGTCCCAAAACAATAAAACGGCGGCCATGTTGGTGCCCCAAATGAGTTTCTTTTGTCGCAAGCTGCTGGCTAGCTGAGTAAACCCCCTATTCCCTGTACCTAAGGGCTGGTTCGCTGTGGATTATCGTATTTACTCGATTACACGCCGTGGCGTTTATCAAATTTTCAGCGTTCCCAAGAGGCTTCAATTTAAGGCCAGCGTTTTTTTCAAAATATCATATCTAAATTCACAATTACGGTAGATTATTTTTGTGAACCAGAAACATGTTTTACGTTCCAGCGTATCGTTCTCTTTTTTTTGTTGAGATAGAATCGTAACCGTCTGGCTTGTAATATGTACAACGAAAAGACCATTTAAATGTCCCTGTCCCCGTCGCCATCTGAGTCCCATCCACGAGCTGTAATCTTCGAATAACGCCAAAGTCTTTTGATTGGGTGTGACGTTTAATTGTGTTTATTCCGGGGGGGTTGGGGGGGGGGGGGGCGTTGCTGACATTGAACTCCAACACTCACAGATTCACACCACATCACGCGTCTCCCAGAGAAAAGAGTCCAAGTGTCGCGTTCGTGTCTCGCAAAGAAAATATAGGATGGACAAAACCTCTTAGTTGCCGAATAGAGATTATAAAACTTAGAACTGTTGGTAACTATTTTGAAAACTTTTTGTAATGATTGACAGTCTGAAAAAACTTACATTTCAGCCCACGCACCCTCCATGTTATAACGGCCATACTGGATTGTATTGTTTTCTCTATCCTCGTAGCGGTGTTTCCCTGTAAACATCCCACCTAAAAGCTACAAATAAACAACAAGACAGACATGACAGACAATTTGTCGATTAGAATTCTTAAGGAAAAACCGACACATGGACTGTAAAGGCACCTCACACTTCACTTCTTGTTGTGAAATAAAAGTCTTAACAAGTATAACATTGTCGGTAATTTTACGCACATCATGTATTACTTGCAGATGCTATTGTCTGCAACATTTCGCGCAAGGTTAAATATGCGAAAAATTTGCTGCGCGGCTACTTAGCGTATTAAATATAAATGTGAAATTTGATTGGCTGATTTATTCGCCGATGCAAGCAATTTGATTTGGAAGAAGGAGAAATCTAACACCAGAAAGCTCAGAAAAAAATTCCAAGCTCCAAGTGAGAATGTGACAGATGGTACTTAGACGCACGTTTAAATTCATTGCGCGTTATGCTGCAGTAGCCTGAACCGAAATCCTCGTTATTGCCCTCAGCTGTGTACCAGAATTCGCGAAAGAGCCATGATTTGCCTGTTAAAAATGATATTGCTTGATTGGCCAATCAGGTTGAAGGGAAATTCGAGACGCACTTCCTGTAATTCGATGAGTGGTCCAGAGCGAGGATCTCGGCGCTACTTGAATGAACAAGCCGTGGTTAGAGTACACCTGCTACGCAGCTTATGTTGCAGACGTCGATAAGGATTCAGAAGCCAGTCGAGAAAAAATGCAGAGCCCAGTTTACAAGAAATTATTTACTAGCAAAGACAATTCAACGTCAAATGAGAACGTGACAGCGCACTGAAAGGACTAAAAGTGACTTCCGCCGGTGCAAAATTTGCGGCTCTGTCATTGGTCAATTCAGGTTTTAGATCTGCGTTGCCGCTGTTGTCACCTTGTCTCTGATAAATCTGGCTATTACTGTTACAGATGTAAGCAGTTTTAAGATTGAAGTGTCTACAACTATAAACAGAAACAAAAATCGAAAATGTCTTGGCGGTTTACAAGTTTATGAGTAAGCACACTCTCGTCAACTTTCTCCCTTTTACATAAGGTTGAACAACTACATAAAAGTGAGATCATGTGATCTCGTAATAAACTCAAGGTGGCTGTATTCGCAGATTTCAAAAGTGATTGATTGAAACTTTCAGTCAGCCAGTAGACACCCTCTGCGCGTCCTTCTTTAGAGAGATGTCCAAGGCGGCCAACTCTTTGGTGAACAATTTAAGAGAACTAATTTCCTAATTACTTTTCTAACCAGTGCTTTTGAGAACACTGATGTTTCTGTTAAACTAATGGCTGCACCATTACTCACTGGATTGTAAGCATAGAAAGCAATTCCAAATCTTCTCAGACAAGGAAACAGTTCTCCCTCCACGCCTCTAGAAATAAACAAACAGCCAAAAACACTGTTAACTGAATATTAGAGCTTATGAGCGGTACGGTGCCTTCCGGAACATAAGTACATTTGCCACCTCCGATTTACCAAAATGCAGAAACGTGAAATGAGACAACAACTTTTTAACATCAACAAAGATAAACAGGCGCACAACAGCACATTTTCAAGGACAGTAATCATTTTGATTATTGCCGGAATGACAGAGATAATAGATGCTAATTATTACTTTCTAGGCCATTTCTTTGAACATAATTACTAAAGCAACGTGCTTAGACCAAAAACAGATTGAAGGCTGTAACACTAGGCGCTTTCCATTTACCAAGAAATTCCGGAAATTCCGGTTGGGATGTTAATGGAAAACATGAAAAGGTAGTCCTGTTTTCCCGTTGGAAACTTTCCGGTAGAAATGCATGTTCCATTTACGAGTTTTCACAAGGAATCACCAGTTCCAGGCCATTCATGGCAGTATCTGTGTCACCATCTTGAATTTTGGTGACGAGAGCATGAAAGAATGGAACTTGTGCCAAATGGAACATGTTCTTCACTTGATGGACTTCTCTTTGGAAGTTTCTCAAAGTTTTTGGTAAATGGACAGCGCTCAAAGTTTACTGAGGTTTTCCAACAGGAACAGGACCCGTAGTCGAATTCTAAGGTCCCTGTCGCAGAGAGCTGTGATGAGATCGGGAGGCGGCTGTATTCGTAGGCTGGCTACTCTCGAATCAAGTTACTCTGACTCACTTACCTTGTGACTGGATTATAAACACTCTGATAGAATGTCGGTAGGGGATAGTCTTTCATCTTACACAAGTAATAGACTTCAGCCTAAGGAAAGTAAAACAATTAACAATTACTATAACTTAACAAGTCTATGGACATTAAATTTTGTATTACTTACAGCTCCAGTAGTACTTGCACACAATAGTGCCGGATTTTAGGTAGTTTGCATAAGGGCAATTAAAGTCAATAATGTTAGATATTAAAGTACGTAGTTTGTAGTTTTGAGTCCACGGATTAAATCCTACCTTATGACCAATCAAACGAAAGCTCTTCAGCATTACTTTCACATTGTCCTAATTACATTAATTTGTATAAGTTTGTAGTTCCAGTTTTTGAGTCTGCACAACATCCTATGGCCTGACCAGGTTAGGAGAAGCAAGGCAGCTTATATAATAAAACTATTAACTTACTACTTCCCAAGAGGAATAATTGGAGAGTCCAAAATATTTAAATTTTCCCTCTGAAACAACAACAACAAAAATAAATGAAATTACTTATGGCAATCAATAAAAATCTGGGTACAGCCCTGGGAATAGGCCCTTTGCATCTTGTCATTCACGTACAAAACTACCTGCCCTGTGCACACAGCCTCTTTTTGTCTTCTTCTTGACTGAGAAGGAGAAAAAGAGGCTCCAGCTGAAGTCGCTTTGAAATCGCTGCAGACTCGACTTCAGGACTAGTCAATATTGTTTTCTCTGTTGAAGTTGAAGTTGTTTGACACAGTATGTACCATNTTCTTGACTGAGAAGGGGAAAAAGAGGCTCCAGCTGAAGTCGCTTTGAAATCGCTGCAGACTCGACTTCAGGACTAGTCAATATTGTTTTCTCTGTTGAAGTTGAAGTTGTTTGACACAGTATGTACCATCCCCTGCATGCGCTAACTATGCACTTAAATGTACTGCTGACAACAACAAAGATGAATATGGGTCAGAAGCAGCCAGCAGCCAACACCCTTCAAACTGGTTTTTCGAGTGTGAGCATCCATTGATAAACCAATGGTCATAACTGACCCTGCTGTACCAGGCACACAGCTATGAGGCTTGGGTTTGATTTACTGTATCCTAGTGACATGTAGTGCATTGCCCAACAAAAATCTTACTTGATTTGTGTGGAGTCTCAAGTTTGCCAATAAAATTCAGTACAAGTGAGAGAAATGCTGGAGAGCAAATAAATGTACTGGAAAGAGACAAACAAAATAGTATAGTAATTTCCTTTGTATTGTTTATATCATCCCAGTGAGTTGCTTGCTCTCTTGCAGGGTGGTTTTGTACCTGACTCGTGGCGCACTGGGTGTGTGGGCATCACCCCCTACTCCCGCTGTGCGCGTTATGCGAAAATGACTGGGGAAAAGTCCGGTTTTGTACCTTGAATAAGAGCCTTCTTGCTTCTACTTGGTAAAGAATCATATACATGTACATGTACCTTTATAAAGCTGATTGACAGCTTCAAGAGTTTCTTCAATGGGTGTATTGTGATCTGGAGCATGGAGGTAAAACAAGTCCACACTATCTTTCTTCAATCTTTTAAGAGATGTATTCAGCTGTTCCAACACACTATCATACTTTAATCCTTTGAAGGATAAGATAATACAAATATTATATAACAACATTAATATTAAGATGGAATTAATATTACAACATTTTATTATAAAACTAGCTGTGCATACATAACCTAATGACACTTAAGTACATGTACAGGTAAACTTTCAAACAAAAAACACGATATCTTCACATGTCAAAAGATCATTGTTGCTATGGTTACCATCTAACATTATAACTTACTATGCAAATCAAATCTTAACTAGTATTAGCAGTAGAGCACTTAATTAAGGTTAAAAGTATGGCCAGGGAATATAAATTCAATCAACTTGGGCCTGGTTTACATATATCTAAAATAGATATATATACTGAAACAACTCATGATAAACTAGAGTTAAATGTATAAGGGGAAAACAATGTCATTAAATTGATTTCTGAAGACATTTTTCACCCAAATAAAAAAAATAATAATACTTTGTTCAGTGACTACTTTAAAGTTCAACATGTAAAAGCTAGCACTTCAAAAAAGTCATGTGTTTTTACATTGGCCCATGTACAGTATATTAATTTACCTTTCTCATTCCAAGGATTGGCTTTTGTGGCAATAAACATCTGAATAATGGATACAAAATAAAAAAATGGCATACAAATGTACAATATTATTAATATCATAATCTTACTGTCCTGTTTGCATGATAATGATAATAATGATGATGATTTCGGATGATGATCATAATGTAATACAAGCATAATTATTATGCTATGCAAAAAAAGTCAAGGTAAAGTATTAGGGGTTTTCACATGACGTCACCAAAATTCAAACTAAGAAACTATCGATTCTTCTGAGTTTCTATTTTCATTAGGTATTACAGCCCTCAAAAGCCTTTATTTACACAAATTTTCGGTTCCAAAGGGTTCTTCGTTTTGCGATAGAAGACGCTTGAATTTCCAAGCTTTTACTTGACGCAGCATCTAGCTGGTGGCCGGGAAAGCTCTTATGTGGGTTATTAAACGTTGCTGATTTTTTGAGATTTTGCTATTTAAACATTTCTTGTTTTGGAATAAATATTACTTTAATCTTTATGAGTTCCTCAAGCGGTAAATTCACGCATCAGTAGGGAAACCATAAACATATTGGTTTCCGGCCGCCATATATATATTTGTGCCCCTTAAAGGGACACAAACATGGCATCTCCTTACAAAGCCTTATAAATTTGGGTAAAAAGTTTTTCTGAATATCTCGCACATGAATTATCACACAGACCTGATTTTTGGCGAGGTTTTTTGTATATTTATCTTCTTTCATTCCTCAGATTCTGGAATTTCTGTATTGACTGGTTTGCATTGTTATTTTCGACGGCATGACAGTGAAAACACAGAATATGTACATGTAAAGGGGAAGAAAAAGTGAAACCTGGAAACCACCCCTAACATTAAATCATACTGTAGATGCTAATGGCATACAAAGAAAACAAATCAGTGGCTCAGATCTAGTCTACCAGGTAAACTGAGCTGGTTGTCAATGAGAATCATTGAGGCCCTATACACAATAACAAGAGCTGGAGAGAAAGATCACTAATATCAAAACTTTTATGCCTTAGTCTCATGCTAACAACCTTTCTTCAGAGTTTTTTCAAACCAAAAGGGAAACTGCTTAAATTGAATGTTATTCATTCATTTCCATTTCTTTCACTGACAGTTCTTATAGCATATGTATATGCCTAGATAGGTCTTTTGTACCTTCACAATGACAGTCTTTTTCGAACTGTAAATCTCATACAAAGCGGCATGTTTTACTTAAAAGATCTTTATTTTTCAATGATCATTATCAGGGCATGTCATACTATGGCAAATGTGATAAAGCAGTAAACACCTTTGTCAAAAATTAATTTGAGTTGAAGAAAAAAAATGAAAATATGAGTTCTCTTTTCTTTTTTCCGTCTTTCTTGCTTTTGGAATTATTACACAATATTCTTTCTTTTCTTTTCTTTTCTCTTTGCTTTTTACTTAAATGTATTATTTAGGTGATATCTGTTTGTCATCTTTTACGCAATCAATTTGGCATACAACAACTAACCTTTTGGCAAACTTAGGTATTTTTAGGTAGGTATTTTATTTATTTGCCACACGATTACGATAATTACAAAAAGATGCCAAAAAAAAAAAAATGTAGGAAGAGATGGCGAGGAGGCCTAAAAGAAACTATAGAGCTTATGTTAATTAGGCCTCCTCAATTACAACTTAGTGCCAAGAAATTGTAAATATTAAGGTAATAAATGTCTTGTCTTGTCTTGTTTTAGTTGACTAAAAAAATAGTTAGAATAAGAATGAGTTGTTGCTTAACTCTATTTTAGCCCCAATCTACACATAAAAATTATCCAAATGATCTCTGTACATTTCTTTACAGAATGAGTTGAGGGAATTATTTTGATAAAAGATCAAAGCATTTTCTATGTGGTGATCATTCTATCAATTCTCATAACCATTTCTCTTGACAGAGAGCTGGTTGCTTAAGAGATTGGTTGCAAGGAGACCTACATGTAAGCGCTTAACTGTATTTGAAGTGTTCTTGCCTTCATTTAACAATAATTCCACAAGTGCACCTTGGATATGAGATGGGTGATAGCCAACGAGGCGCGTAGCTCTGAGTTGGCTGTAATCATCTCATATCCAACAAGCGTGAGTGGAATAATAATTGTTTTATTTAAAATGCCCACAAAATAGCAAGAATTTAGCTAATTTTTAATTTTGAGCAGATGCGTACAGTTACAAGTATAACATTTGGCTCATTTACCATGATGGCTAAGCCAATCAGAGCTCTAGAACTGCATTATCTAATGATTTAGTTTTTAATAATAATCAAAATCATTTTAATTTAAACACACATAACAAATAACTAGGCTTTAAAGTTATATATCATTTTTTCTTCTGTAACTGATAGGAAAAAAATACCTTGGAATCATGAATGTACTCAGTATTTCCCATGAACTCCTCACTCTTCCCTCCAGTGTACCTTTGACAAACAGTAATTTAATGATTATCTAGATCACTTTCTACATACAGTTTTTATACTGTCAAGCTTATAGTTGCACTTACATAAAAGCTGTGTCATAGTCATAAACGCCATTGTCAACACATATTTTTATGAACTCTTTTGTCTGCAAAAATAAAAAATAATAACCGCAATACTTTAAATTCTATTTATTTGTCCATAATTACTACACACTAAAGCAGTAGCTACCAATACTACAAAAACGTAATCAACTTTATTTGTTAGGCAGATTAACCATATACTGTGACCATTCATATAAAACCTCTTTAGTACTGTTGTACTTTCAAATGGTGCTATTAGTTTTTAAGTATATTAATTTTTACAAATAAAATTGGCACATTTTGTTGAATTTTGCGACTTTGGGCAGTCGGGGTAGCCAGCTGCCTGGATTTCTCCCTTGGCAGAGTTCTGTTCTTATAAAATAAATGTACACCAGGAGGTAGGGTTTTCAGTTCACACCTCGTCTTGGTTGCATATTTGCCTTCCAAATTCCATGCAGCCAATTGATGTCTTCACGGGAATAGAGGCCATCCTGATGAGATGAGCATAACAAGATAATCAAGGCAGAATCACATGTATGCAAATTAAAGAGCGGTAATAAATTATATTATACATATCTAGGAAAAGTCAGAGGTTGAGGCAAATAACACTTCATATCTGTATCATTGTTCATATGATAAAAGTTTTAAAAAGTTTTTCCTAATCCTTGCCAAATGAGCCAATCTGCTTGCTGGTTCCTTCTCTGTAAATTTCCACAATCATGTTTGGCAGTAGGTGTTTAGATTTCAATTCCAGCTTAACTATACAACTGACTGTATATGCGTGGAAAGCCGGTGGTGACCTGGGGGTTAGTGAATGCATGGGCACAGCTGGAATTGACTGACGCATTACAAGCCTGATTGGCATTAAATCTCTGGGGCCAGTTGTTCAAAAGGTGAATAGCGCTATCCACCATATAAATCACTATCCAGTGGATAGTGCAATTAGGGCCTGGAGGAATGCATTAGCCTGAGAAAACAGCCAATATTATGGTGACATCACTAATGGCTTCCCCATGACATAACCGTGACGCCACCACTTGGTTTCAACATGAAAAAATATGACGTCTGAGGAACAAGCAAAGAAATTTCATTCTGATGATATGTCACTAGATCAGGTAGATCCAGTTCATTAGTATGTAATTTCTGTGCTTGTTCCAGAGACATCATTTTGGGGGGAAACCAGAGGTGTTGTTGCAAAATGTTGGCTGTTTTCTGAGGCTAATGCACTCCCCCAGGGATTTAATACCAATCAGAAATACAGGAAGATTTAGCATGATGGAGTTTCTCAACGATTTGCAGGATACAGAAAGAAACAGAAGAAAAAATAGCAACATATTCAACCAGCCATACATATTAGTTTAATTTCAGTAGGCACCACAGTTATATATGGTCATGGAAGATGGCTGCCTTGATGACAAATGCCCCAACGTGAAAACAAAAAGCTTGACAAAAGCCTAATACCTTCAGTTTCCACCAGTTGAATTAAGCTTATTAAAACCTTGAGCTTGTATCTCCGAACTTGTATATTATGCATGTAATCTGAAGTTCAAGAACCCAGTCATGTATACTAAAAGACAGCTGAACAATTCCACTAAAAGGAAACAAAGACATAACTATTATGTCCTTTAATTAAGCACAGTGATGAGACTTGCTTACCTTTATCTCCTTTATTTTAATTTACGCCTGAGAGGAATCAAAAAGTTATGAATAAAGAATGCAGTGTGTCACCCAAGACAATCAATGTTCCCTTCAGTCTACCGAGAGTTCGTGATAATGGACTGGGCTCTAACGATGATGTGAGAAGATTTTGTTTGTCACGCTACTCGCCCCGATGTTTTCACATGTGATGAGAGTGGCGTTTGTTCGTCTTAATTTTTTCCCAACATCAGAGGTCTTCACACGGCAGTTGACCAAGGTAACAAACTACATTTTCACAGATCTCTTCATTTACAAAAACAACATTTTACTAGCGCGCTTTGTCGTTAAAGAACGAGTTTAAGCATGAATATTGAATGAGTTTCAAATCCTTCCACTGCACCATGTTTGTTTTCATTATTTTTCTATTCATTAATGTTAATGACCAGTATACTGTTTAGTGAAAATAGACTTCACCTTCATACTGTGTTTATTTCTAACAGCAATGAGTTTTTTTAATACGCAAAAGTTTGTACGTTGTGTTATGTTGTGCTATTAAAATGGGGCTGCCAGAATTCCGACATCTTCTTTGGCCGTGTACAGCGGATTGATCTGAATCCGTTCTGTGATTGAATTAAAGTTATTCAACCTATTAGGGTCAGCCTTCATCTAGGCTTCTAACCCTGGTAACCTACAATCTTTAAGAAAATATTAAAAATGGAACATTAAACCCCCATCCCCTGGAAATCAAGGATGAAGACGCTGGAGAGCCCAAAACGCGCGCCATTTTTCCATCCTTGAGTTAAGGGGGAGAGGGGAGAGGGGGTAAATTTTCAATCTGTCTTATCCAGGAAGAGCAAACCCCCATTCCCCAATCCTGCCAATCAATGCCAATTAACAGAAATTAATTGATAAATAATTAATCAAAATTGGGTTTTCTTTTCATTGGTTAATAGACCTTGTCACGGTTTTCGATGCCATCTTGACGAGTAGGCAAACGTGTGAGAAATAACAGTGTTTGTATGAGAATCTAATGTCGAATAATTTCCGTAAAACGGCTATTTTGAACAAAATATCAATTGTAAAGTAAAGCTACAAAGCAAAGGATTCTCCAAAAAAATTTTGGGGTGTACCTGTGCTTAAATTTCTCCAGAGGCTTTCTTTAGCTTTTCCATATATATATTTCTGTTATTTTTTTTTGGGACTTTCATACAGACAAATGTATAGAAAATTTTAAAAAGTGGTTCTAGGTCTTCTAGTGCATGTAACGCCCTCAAATTTTTTCAAGAGAATCCTTAGGAGTAAAGCTTTAGTTTACAAATCATATTTTTTTCAGAACAGCCGTTTTACGGAAATTATTTGACATTAGATTCTCATACAATCAGTGTTATTTCTCACGCGTTTGCCTACTTGTCAAGATGGCGTCGAAAACCGTGACAAGGTCTATTTTCATCAAATATTGTTCACAACCTGTAAACCCTGATCACTGTATATCATTGCAAACCACAATTAGCGCTTTTCTTTGACTTCTTTTCCTTTTTATTGCCGTCCCTTACTGTGATAATTTTTATTCTAAGAATGATAATTATTATTTTCCTCACCTCTTCTTTTTCTTAAACTAAATGGCATGATTGTGGAATAGGTACATTGGCTAAACCTCATTAGATGCTAGTCCACCCATTTAAGGGGATAGATAAAGTAGGATAATTTCTGGTTCCCTCCCCCCCCTTCCTTACAGTGGATTGTTCCCCCAGGAACTTTTGCGTCATCTGTTATTTTTGTGTTTCTTTTCTAATAGATCAGTAAATTGGTGCTTTCATTGTTACACAGTGTAAGTAACAATAATTATATTGTTAATTTCAAGATGGCTGCTGTCCCTGTGAAGACTTCTATTGGATGTATGGAATTTGGACGGCAATGCAGCCCAGACCAGGTGTGCATTTATGAACAGTCAGGGTAAAAATTAATCCATTGGTAGTTGGTTGCACATATTATGTTAGAAGTTCAAGTCAAAAGTAAGATGACTGACCCTGTAAGCTTGTGAGACTGCACACAAGTTACATGTACGCGTTCAAAATTTTAATCATTGAAAGTGAACAGGCTGTACATAAACAGTGTCTTCCGGTGTGAAAAAAGGTTACTTGGGAATAATTAACAATTATTTCTTTGAAATCGAGGTGAATAGTGGCTAAACATTTAACCGAGCTGTGGAAGGGGCGAGGTAAATATTCCCAAAGCCACTATTCACTGAGATTGAAAAGAATTAATAATTGTTTTAGTATATACACACGAAGTGATCTCAAGAAAATCAGAGAGGAAACCATTAAAAAGTACGATTTGATTGACAGATCAAATCACGCGTAAGTTTAAAAATAGATCTTTGCAGAATTTCAAACATGGCAATTCACAAGTTTATCATTTCACAAACAACAGCGTAATGGCTTAAATGGAACTGCTAAAAGTTTGAACTTTTCCTTACTTGAGAAAAAAAGTAGAGCTTTGTTGTTTTCTGTTGACTCGCCAAGTTTATAGCCAAAAGGGTTTGTTGTGTCATTCTTCGCATGAAGTGCTGACAAAAATGGCGGCTCGGTAGCTCGAGGTAAGATGTCGTCTTCCTGTATCATTCTTTTTCCTGTTTACTTGAAACGTAGAATTTATTTACGTTTCCTTTTAAATTTGTTTGTCATAAATAAACTTTGATTGTTGAGCCAAAATTTTCTTGTTAGAAAACACTGAGTTCACAAAACGACTTCTTCTACGTGAATACACGGGAGTTGTAAACAATCCATTGATCACAAAACTCAGCTACAGTAAATTGAAAAACGCCGTATTGAATCCTTCCAAGTCTTTTCTTGCCTCAAAAAAAGTCAGCCCTAGGATTTTGTCGACTTTTAAACGATCGTTCTCTAAAAAAATGGGAAAAACACCGAGCTCACACATTATCCACTTGCTAGGAGGTGAATATTGTTGAATAGTCTGAGATCGCGAACCAATCAGATTGCTTAAATCACCAAGATCACTGAGTGTGTATAACTAATATCAGATGTTTTGGTCCAATAACTTTCACTCTGTTTATGGAAGCAGGTTGTGCACATGCTATTAAATTTCCCAGGAGTACCCCTGGCCATGGGACCCACTCATTGACTCGATTACTGATGGGTTAATGTACACTGTAACCAACAGGTTGACATGACTATACAGCTGTACACTGTACATGTATAATTTGCATTGAATTCATTATCTTAAACTGTTCATTAATCACTGAATAATGCATTGTTGCAGGCAAAGGAGTTTGTAAAACTTTGTATGGAAAATGATGTATATGATTTTGACACTGCTCATGGGTAAGTATAAATTATGTCATTGATCTCTAATAAGAGCCACCTGTTTAACTTACAGGGAGATTATTTTTCTTGTAGAGTAATTTAAAAGTTTCAGACAAGTAAACTTATGTTATCTTGTTAACCCCTAAACCACGACTTGGTAAGATTAAAAAAATGGGGCTCCATTAAAAAAATGTACCTCGTGCAACCACCTCCTTTTTGGACGGGATGTTTTGGCATGGAACTGCCCTTCATTTGTCGCTCTAACTTTTAAATCTGGATGAAATTCTGTGGTGTTTCTCTTGAAATTAAACTTCTTTCATGGCATTCCATACGTGCATGTAGTATATGTACTTAAAAAAAATATTTTACTGTATGTAGGATTTTACAGAAGTAAGTTAACATTTTTCATTTTTAGGTTTTACTACTATGTACATGTATGAAAAGCGTAAGCCCCTGTTTTCAAAAGGGCTTATTACCAGTAATGGAAAGAAGGCTTAGTCTAGACATACATGTAAACTGGGGTGAGGTGCATCACAGGTAATACAGTTGAACCTCTCTACAATAGCCACCTTGGGGACAGAAGAAAGTGGCCGTTGTAAAGAGTTGGCTGTTGTAGAGAGGTTTTAAACAAGAGTCAATGTACCGATTTTTCGTCTGTGGGGACGGAAAATTGACCCTTGTTGAGAGGTGGCCATAGTAGAGAGGTGGCTGTTAGTGGAGGTTTGACTGCACTGGCAATCCATTAATTTTTTCTATTCATGGAAATAATATTTATTTTGATAAATGCCTTATTAGTTTTATATATATCCCCCTTGCAGGTATAAGGTAAAGATATTAATAGGGAAGTGACATCCTTACTTCTCCTCTTTATTAGGATCTGATTATTTTGCTTTTCTTACAATATTCAACTTTATTCACTGTTACAGATATAATGAAGGAAAGAGTGAAGAAATTATGGGAGATATTGACAGCCTTAATGAATCTAAGGTATTTTGAAGTAACCTGCTTGAACTACATGCACAGTAATTTCAAAGAACTGGGAAATACTTCCCTGCTAGTTGAGCCTCTGATTGCAGCGTGCTGGAAACAAGTGAATAAAGTAAAATGAATGGTAATGTCTTTTTAATAACATTATAATGTACTTTTTTTTCCTTCAACCAGGTTTTCATTGCTACAAAAGCAAATCCTTGGGGAGGAAAAGGTGTGTTCCTAAAATTTTAAATCATTAATTTTCTTAATGTGACTACTTCTAATTATTTCTTACACGACAGATACTTACTGTAAAGAACCCATTCACCCCTGGAAATTTTGCTGGAAAATGCATTTTGAAGTTAGTCAAGCAGTTTTCTGGTCACTATCGTGCTATAAAGAGCTAAAACTTACCTTAAAGCCATTTATGGGTTGTACACTTCGTGACCGTCTGATCCAGATGCAAAATATTACCTGTAGCTTGCAAAGTTCGGACTTGCACAGAAAGCAAAATTTCACTCTCTCCTCCCCTCATTTTTCGCTTTTCTAGCCTTATTTTTTTCTTTTGCCGGATATTTAGTAGGCTTCATTTTGGTGGGAAAAGTTTTTAGGAAAACTTTTAGGAACAAGATTTTCAAGGAGATTTTGTTACATGTTTTTTTTTTTGCCATTTTCTTGGGTGTCATTGACTGAATTGTGCTCATTCTGGTATGGTTTGAAAGATTTCTTCACTCTGCGCAAGTCAGCGGACAAAGTTGTCCTTGACCATTAAAACTGATGATGTCACAAGCTGTAAAAGGGAGGGGGATCTGCATGGGTGGTTACGGGTAGCCCGGGGATGAGTGGGTTAAGGTGCCATAAATATCCTAGCTGTCACCAAGTACTAGGGGGCTGGAGATTTCCCCTGTCTACTGTGAGCATGACCAAGGGCTACTTTCATAGGAATTAAATACATACATGTAGAAGGAAAAAAGAACTTTTTAGCTGTTAACTCCCTGCCCACTATACTTGCATACTGGCAACTTGAAATCTTAGTGACATCCCTGGCTGTTGACTGTAAAGGTGGGCTCTAAACTGTGTTCTGGGATTTTGAATTTTCGGATAAAAAATTATTACAGAATCCATCCATTTTTTGATTTTCTGTGCCTTTCTGTGATTTTCCTGTATAACCTCGATGCGCATTATTAATTTTGCACTGCACTCCGAAATGATATTCTATCTTTTTTTACGATTCCCTATATTCTCTTTCTACTTTTGTCACTCATAATCATGTTTCTTTCATCCTTTTTTCTTACATTGTATCAGTTCCTTCCATTTTTCCAAAATTGTTTTGCCTTTTTTGACAGCAGTTTGTTTTTCAAATAACTTCTATCCTGAAGCCTGCTCATTTTCCTTCATTTTTTTGTATTTAATTTTATGACCAGGTGTATTGCATGAGTTCCTCCATCTAAAAATTTCATTCAGTTGATCATTTTATTGTTTGTTGGCTTAATCTTCAAAGGTTTGAAATGTGACAGTGTGAAGAAACAGTTGAATGAATCTCTCAAAAGATTGAAGAAAGACAGTGTGGACTTGTTTTACCTTCATGCTCCAGATCACAGTACACCCATTGAAGAAACTCTTGAAGCTGTCAATCATCTGCATAAAGGTTTTTAGATGCAAATGTACTCTAAGATGTTGATCTATTAAACCACCGAACAAGAAAACAAAACCTAACAGTTTATCAACTAAGCATTAGGAACTTTATTATAAATTAAAGGGGTGTCTGGAATAAGCCCTGAGGGACTTCTGATTAAATGCTAAATTCTCCTTCAAGTTTACCTCATTTTATGCATGTGAATCAAGAAGAAAATTTATCATTAGATCAGTGCTCATCTGATCCACTTAATGAAGGTCTTGCCCAATTTTTTTTAGGGAAAAAATTCTCCTCTTCAGTTATTGTAGGATTTTAGTAGTTGTGGCTCTGGGGAGCAATGTATGCAACCCATTCTGCCAATATTGGTACTCTAATAATGGATAACCATGTGGCAGTTACTTCTTATTTTGTTTTCAACATGTATGTACATCTGTACAGTCATGCAGACTTCTTGTTACCAACATGGAATATTGTTGTTTTGTTTTCAAAAAATGTGCATATAACGAACATACAGTATTAACCAAATTAATTTTGTTTTTAAAGAATGAAAGATGATAATTAATTGTGGTGGGGACCCAGGTTTTTTCTTTGCCCCATGCTCGTGACATGCTGATTAATTCATTTTCACAAAATTTTGTCTTTTTTCAGAGGGAAAATTTAAATCCTTTGGCCTTTCTAATTACACTGCTTGGCAAGTAGTAAGTGTGTTTTTTAATACCTCATTTTGCTTGTGAAATGGAAGGCAATTATTATTTTCCTTGGTTCAAAATGTCATGAAAGGATGATTTTTCATTCCACAGCTGTGAATTCAGTAACAGTGAAACCTTAATTTAATGTAATAGGTAATTGAATGAATGATAAATTGCGATTCAGAGGTACGCGTAGCCCTTTTATGTAGTGGTGGTTGTTAATCTACCATTCAGAATCAAATTGGGGAAACTGGAGCACCCTCCAGCCAGAGAAACACCCCTTGGAGGAAGGAGGAAAACCAAAGCAATAGATATATAATTTGAATGACATTGTTAGTCCCAGTCTAGTCTAAAGTGTCAGCCATCTATTCACTCCAACCTCCAACCCCATAATGGGCAACCAGGCAAGACCACTACTAAGCCCCAGCAACAGTGAAATTTAAAGAGGACCCAGATCTTATCTACATGTATCCCCAATTTAATGATCAACTTCTCCATTCCATTTGACTCTCTAATATTCCTAGTGCAGGTTTGACTGAATTTTTTGCTTTCTTTTAGGCAGAAATTTATTATCTGTGTAAGATGAATGGGTATCCATTACCAACTGTCTACCAAGGAATGTATAATTCTGTTACAAGGTAAGCATGCATCCTGATGGTTAAAGCTGTGGTTACATGGGGCAGCTTTACCAAGGTTGATAGAAAGTCTGTCAATGTTATGTGGGGAAGATTCCCCGAGGTGAATTTTCATGGTAAAGTGACTGAGCACAGTAGAAAATGTTCCAACCAAAACACTGTGTGGATTGAAAATCGCTCTGTTTGCCTTGGTAAACCTACAAATGACAAGACAAGTTTGGACAATTCTGCGCATACTGTTCATAAAAATTTTTAGTTTGTTTCTTTGCCTTCTTTTTTTTTATTTTTCCATTGTCACGTTTTATGAGGAGGCGGCATGAACACGCAGCAACAAATTTCCCTTCCCTTTCTAAATTTGGACGGTCCCTGGAAGTGACCTCTTCTGTTACCTTTTTAATATCTGGTGGTTCTTGGACTGGGTCTTTTCCTTAATTAAACAACTCTTCAATACGATCAGGCAGCTGCTTAATGAGACTGGTAAGGATGGGAAAAGCAATCAATTGGACAAACAGTGAAAGTCAAGAAAATTGTGTAACTGAGCATTTGGTTGATTATATTTTGTGATCAGACCATTTAGAAAAGGTCAGTGTCATTATATGACACTACCTTTTAACCCCTAAAGCCCAAATATCCACATACAAATTAATTTTTTCCAATTGATCTCCATACATCCCATAAAGACTCTGACTCAGTCTTTGACTCTGAAGATGACTACTGCAAAAGTTGTCAAAATGTCAGTCACTGTCAACAACAACAGTCCTATTCAGGACTATGTTCATCCAGACATTCATGCTCAACTTACTTATGAAGTGACTCCTGGGTTGAACCTTTCACAGCATTCCATAAAGATCAAGCGGAAAGCACTTGATAGAGGATAAAAGGATTTTCTGCAAGGTGATAATTTTACTAATTCTCATAACCCTGTCTCTTGATTAATCCGATAAGTACCAATAGTGACCAATATCAATTTTCTCCTAACAATATCCATACATTGTCAATAGAAAAAGTTATAAGAATTAATAAAATGATCACCAAAGACAAAATGCCATGATCTTTTATCAAATTCTCTCAACTAATTCTTAAAGGAAATGTATAGAGATCAGTTTGGAGAATTTGCATATGGATATTGGGGCTTAAAGGGCTAAGGATTGGTATTGTTGAAGGAAAGGTGATGTTGCTCACCCTTGGAGCTTAAATGGTTAATACGTACACCCAGCTGAGACCAAATTCTCATAGCCTAATTTCTTTTCAGAGATATCGAAAAAGAACTCTTTCCCTGTCTTAGGAGATTTGGAATGGCCTTCTATGCATACAACCCAGTGAGTAAAAAGTAATTTCTGGTCAGTGTGGGATGCAGATTTGGGTGTAACAAAACGCAGTCGTCTAATACAGCGTAGTGAATTAAAAGCAACGTAAAATAGGAATAACAAACGATACATGGTGAGGGGCCGCAATATCTGCAGATTGTGGCATATGTTTAATCCATCCGTGTATTCCATTCTCCGTCCCATGAAGTGGGTACGTTGCCCAAGTTTATGCATAAGTTTACTCTAGGGGACAAAAACGGAGACTTAAAATACCTTTCCTATATACGGCAACATCTCAATCTGTTGTAGGGTTTGCTCCTTCGGGATGATCCGGATGAGGGGCAGTGATCATGATGCGTCAAAGGAATTGATGAATTCTTGTCTGGAGTGGGTTCATTGGTTCCTTTGATGCGTCATAATCTGAGTGATCTCGGATCACTGATCCTCTTCTAGATCATCCCAAGAGAACGCACCTTTAAAATCTTGTTTAGTGCAAAGAAAGAAATAGTATTACGTACTCCTTTGTTACTTGGCGAAAAATTGGGAATCATTTTGGGACATCTTAGGTACATATCTTGGACAAAGAGGCCAAAAACCATACCATGTCCAGCAAGCTGCACTTCTTCCTATAAGCCATTTAAGTAAGCGCTTCGGGGTTCACCACTTAAACTGATAAGGCTGTGTAACGTTTGACTTGGGTTTAAAAAAAACTAAATCCTCCTTCTTTAGACTTTAGATATACTTGTGTGTACTTTTATAAGAACGTTCTTCGCATTCTGCTTCTAAGAACGAACCTCTCGCTCTTATGGATACATATCTGCGCCCCGCGGGTTCCACGATCTAGTTCTTGAGATTGTTCCAGTCGAGAGTCCATGAGAGCCATTTTCGCAGCGCTTCACTAATTACCTGTAGCTAGTGGTGTTATATTTATATTTCATAGCTCGCTGGAGGAATCTTAACGGGTAAACATCGATACGAAGACAAAGAAACGGGAAGCATTCAACATGGGCGTTATGCTGGAACTGGACCATGGGCTGACTTGTAAGTGGAATTGATTTGGTATTACCGGGTTCACTTAAAGGCTTGATATGATCATAAGGAATAAATAGTGCTATGTATTTAAGGGTTTAACTTAAAACTTCGACTTGAACGTTAAAACCATTAGGATCATGTCCACAGTTTTTAAAGTAAAGATGGCAAAATAATTATCTCACCATAACTCGGTCTATGGGTAGCAAGAGGGTTTCAAAAAGACGTTAATTTTTATAACAATTGCTGGGAAAGAGGTATATATTAAGGTCAATAAGATCTCTTATTTCTTGTTAAAAGCTTGGAAAACCTGATTTTCTTACATAATCTGATCTTCTGTTGATAATAAAGAACGTGTCTTTAAATTGGAACCATTTACCAATACAATACCGCACAGGTTGTCGAAACGTCAGTCACTGTCAACAACAACAGTCCTATTCAGGACTACGTTCACCCGGACGATCAAACTCAACCTACTTTTGAAATGACTCCTGGGTTCAAACCTTTCACAGTAATACAATGTATCTTCTGACTTGTATTAGGGAACCTGCTTATAGTCAGACATAAGAACAAGATAGCAGTTCCTACTTCACAGTTACATGTATAAGGTTCAACTACATGAAGATTTATCAAACACATTCACCTATAGCGTGCCCTTTTCATTTCTAGATACGTCGCGCGCTTTTGGAAAAAGCCATTGTTTGATCTACTTGACAAACTCAAAGGAACGATGAATAGTATCTACGGTGAAGGAAAAGTGAGCTTGATTGACGCTTCCCTTCGCTGGATGTATCATCACTCAAAAATGGATGGTGCATGTGGAGGTATGTATTAGCATGTGATTTCAAAAGGGTTCTTATACACGGACAGTCCAACTTGCCATAACGAAGCGGACCACTCAAGATGAGCAGATTTAATGGTCGCCTACGGGAAGTGATCTCTTACGAGAATCGAGCCACAGGGGGTCTGTTCTCTTGTATCTCTTTGTATACAGTTTCCAGGTTACTTATACGTGCAGTTCTATGTTGTCACTTAAAATTCTTTGTATATTCTGAATGGTGTAGTACATACAGCGGTCAAAGAAACCATACCATTCGCTAAGTGGTCGCTTACAAGAGATCAAATACCATTGAAAACTGTAAAATTGTTAGGCTAAAAAGTGGTCGCGGTCGGTCATGAGAGGTGGTTGTTTACGAGAGGTTCTAAGTATAGAGCTTTGACGGGGAAAATTAAGAGTGTTTTGAAATGATAGGTGATCGCTTGTGGGAGGTGGTCACTTGAGGTAGTCACACATTGAGGTTCGACTGTTTGTCATTTCTTATTCTCCTCATGAAAGATAAGTTTCTTTTCGGGCCAAGGGACGCAACAACGGGAAATACGTCACCGTTTAGTTCCTCTGCTTCGGTTTGCGACTGATCATCGGACTCTTCAGTCTAGTTTCCAGTCCTAGTGGAGTTTGAAATGCTGTTATCACGAGATCATAACGCTCTCTGATTCTGATTAGGACTCCAACTCCGTCGGTTGTAAAACCAGACTTAACAACTTTTAACGGAATCTTGTGGAAGAATAAATGTGGTCGTAGCATGTTCTTTGCTCACAACTAGCAGCGACAATGCTATGCCATACCTCAATGTTTTAGAAACTATTACACTGGAAAACATTTACAAATTTGAAGTAGTCTTTTTCACACATATAACGCAACAAACATCCCTACGTGTCCGATTTTTGAAGGAACCCTTACCCTAGCCTCTGAGATTCATCACACCAGAGTTGTATCCAACCTTAATTTTCATCGGCCAAAGATAAGCAATAATTATGGAGCTGCCACTTTTGCTTTTGTTGGATCCGCTGAAATAAAAAAAAAGCTCCCCTCTAATAGCTTCTATAGGCAATATAAAATGTACCTTTTAAATACCCAATGAGTAATTTGATTTCTCTACTCACACTACCAATAATCATTTTTATTGTTTTTATATATCGTAAATACGACTTTATGCACTTTTAATTTTCCTTTCTCCGTTATCCGTTACTTGTAGTTTTATGTAAATGTCTACGCCAGTAAGTTGCACATGGCAGTGACTAACTCGAACGCCTAAACTCGTTTGGTCACTGCGCACATTTCACCTTTGATGATTTATGTAATTTGTTTCTTTATTTTTTTCTTACTTTTGTAATGTACTGTAATGTTTGTAGTACCTCTTGGAATAGTGCAAAAGAATAAAGAATCTGAATCTGTATAAACTCTTTTTTGTGTGTATTTTTTAGACGCTGTTATAATTGGAGCTTCATCTGTCAAACAATTAAAAGAGAACTTACAGAGTACAAAGAACGGTCCTTTACATGAAGGTATGTATGCTGTTGAGTTCAGTTTTACTAAAGGAAGCGATAGGGGAGGAAAATAGTGAGTTTTGCGCTATTGTTTAGAAGTCACTGCCGACTTCATCCGGCGGGGGTTTGGAGGGGGGGGGGGGGGGGATAGGGTAGGACCGTACATTACAGCACCCCTGATGCCCGGGTGGTTTCCAAGGCGGTCGATGCCATAAACGGGACCGAAGGGTAGGAACCAAAAAAAA